AGGAGACAAGATTTAATTGGCTGTAAAAGTTCAAGTTAGGGTTGGGATGAGAAAAAAGTATTTTATGCTGTTAATGTGACTTTAACAAAGACAAATACCACATAGAATATATACAAATGTACATACATGCTGCTCTAGAAGGCGTGGATAGAAGTAACACTGAATAGAAGACCCCACAAACTACTTAGAATATACGAAATCAATTCCAAAAACAAGAGCCTGAATGAATAGACAGAGCAGGAAACTGAGCAGGTGTGTAGCTTTTACTATCCAGAGCGCTGATGTGCCACTCACAGACTTATGTAACTATAAGATAAATATATTGTATAAGACTCATGTGATTGTTCCTTAAAATGAGCAGGCATGTTCTATATACAAATTCATCATAAAGCTGCAAGAGACAAGTGGTGGAAACAACAAATAGAAGTTCTCTTAAAGTTTCTTGGAGGGCTGAAACATTATTTTTCCACAAGATAATTTGTCATTTGGTGTTCTGATGATGGTGCAGAGAGTTCTGTCCAACATCCAACTCTTCCAAAGGTGTTTTGTTGGGTTGAGATTCAGTGAATATTAAGATCTTAGCATACGATCCACATCATTATCATACTCACAAACCTTTCCGTGACCCCTCATGCCCCATAAATAGGAGCATTGTCAGCTCTCACCAATATAGAAACGTTTCATTACACGGTAAAGGTGATTGCTTTGTACGCAAATGCAAACGTAAAACGCTGCCCCCAGCAGAACAGAGCCACCACATCGCCTCACATTAGGGGTCGAGGGTTCAGTTTGCTTCTTCACTCGGTCACCCGTCTGTACTTTGACGCTCAGGAAAGATTCTAATTGTTTGAAATAAAAACTTAAACTTGAGACTATTGCAACAACATTGACCACAATCTCTCTGTAACTGTGTGGCTGAGTGCAGAGATTTGATATTGTGCATTCACTCCTGAGATCTGATGTTTACAGCAACTGCCACTAAAAGCAGTGGGTGTGGGATACTACCTGGAATTGATTCTCTCTCGCAGCGTTCGTCTGGGAGAGATCCATATTTCTTGCGCTTGTGTAAATAAAGCAACAAGATTGAAGGAGTGCTTGGTTTGTAAAAGGAAAACTATTTTATAACCCTTTTGTCTAGAAGGGAAGAAATCTGAAACAGTTTTACACCATTAGAAGGAAAACTGTAAACAGACGTGTTTATGGACAGTTTTTATCAGTTGCATCCTTCAGTGTATTATTTTGGACTACAGCACACTGAACAATGTGCCCATCCTTCAATTAGACTTGTTAATTTGCTTAATTTGTGTTAACTATCTTATGCATCAGGTGAAAAGAAAAAAATCTGCAAAAAATACATGTTAAGAAGAAACAGGAACTAGGTTCTGATAGTGTAAAACATCCATTAGATTCATTTTTCTTATATAACTGTAACTTTGCATGCTGTCTCTTTTATAATATCTGCCACAGTATACTTTCAAGACTGATTTAATCAATTATAAATATAACTGAGCACATACTTTTGCACAAATCCACACTTTATCCATCTGATGCTGTAGTCAAAACATTCAATGTAACATAAAGTCCTAAAACAGTTTCTAATGTTTAAAGCAGTTTAAAGCAGCTTGACTGCATCGGAGGACACTGTTTTGCATCACAGACCTCTAATCATAAGATCTGCTGCATCACAGATGCAGAAAATGACCTCATCAACAGCACAAAGGCATATAATCGCAGTATCAGCTGCGTGACAGAGGCCTATAATTACAATCACAGCAACACAGAGGAACATTATCACTGCAGGCTAGGTGCTGCAGCTCACAGTCATATTAAGACATCTATTATATCACAGATGCACACAGTCTGTTTCTTCTGCATCACAGTGGCAGAGCCTGCAGTGTCTGTATAGATTCACAGTCATCTCTCATGGTGATAAGAGCTTCAGTTGAAAGCAACTGGAGTTCTCTCTTTGGCGATGTCTCAGCTCTGATCCAAAATCTTCAGTTCTCCATGACTGATGGACAATTTTAGATATGTGCTGTCATCACCAGATCACATAGCTATTTAATTGATGTGGCTCATTGGTCTAGAGGTATGATTCTCACTTTGGGTGCGACAGGTCCTGGGTTCAACTCTCGGATTAGCCTGCAGCAAAGTGGTCTTTTCTCTGGGTATGATGATTATTTCACAAGTTGGGGTTAACAGACACTCTTATTGTGGGGCAGTGGTGGCTCAACGGTTGATCAGAAGGTCGAAGGTTGTCAATTATTGTTTGGCCCAAAACTCTACCTGCTCCAGGGGTCCCTTATCATGCATGACCTGGCGCCCAAATTGGATATGTGGAAAGAGTGCTCTGATGTATTTGTGACTAACAAAAGCTTCGTCTCTTCAATAATGACCCAAGATTCACATGCCTCAAAGTGTGAAGGATTGTGAAACTGCCAGGTAAGGGATCAACAGTCCACCTGTGTCTAAAGGATGGATGATTTGTGAGAGGAGTGAAGGAAGCCATGCTTGCAAGAGACACTACTCATCGGATGCTTGTGATGCAGTCTCTGATCTCTCCCCAGAAAGTTTTGCCACCAACGACACATTGAATCATCCCTGATGTGCAAGTTTTACAACCATTCACACCTCAGGCATGTGAGTCTTGGGTCGTTATGGCCAAGTCGTCTGTGAAGAGGCTTCATCAGTTCTGTCTGGCTGGTTGGGAGTTCCATCCATCCATCCATACATACATCCATCCTGGAGCCTATCCCAGCTGACTTAGGGTGAAGGCAGGCGACACCCTGGACAGGTCACCAGTCTATCACAGGACTACACTTAGAGACAAACAACCAAGCACACTCACATTCACACCTACGGACAATTTAGAATCACCAATTAACCTCAACATGTTTTTGGGAGGAAGCCGGACAACCCAGAGAGAACCCACACTGCACGGAGAGAACATGCAAACTCCACGCAGAAAGATCCCAGGTGTCCTCACCGGGACGCGAACCAGCGACCTTCTTGCTGCGAGGCAATAATGCTAACCACCTGCTAGCCATTAACACTTGTGTCTCACTATCAACTGGGGGTTTGTTGCTCCTCCCCTTCATTATGTGAGTCGTTAGGACTCCCCCTGCCACAATGGGGTTAGGGTCTTTTGTGGCTTGGTGTGAATGTGTTTTTCTTCCTGGGGTAGTTAAGCTTGAATTGTAAACAGGTGAGAGGTGATGCCTCAGACCTCCACCTCCGTTAAGTGATGGTCTTTCCAGTTTGACCTAAATGACTTCTTTCACTCCTCTCTCAAACCATCTGTCCTACCTGGCCAAAGTCTGTACATTATAGTCTTCAAATGAGCGTCGTTTGTCCTTAAGATACAGGTGGACTATTGAGTCTTGTCCTGAGGAGCTGCTCTTCTGTGCTGAGCCATACACTTGTGGAGCAGTTGTTCTGTCTCCCCGATGCACAGGTCTGCACATTCCCCACTGCACTGGACTGCGTTCACCACATTGCTCTGTTTGTGTCTTGGTGTCTTGTCCTTAGCATGGACCAGCATCTGTCTCTGGGTGTTGGTGGGCTTAAAGTACACTGGTGTTTGTTAAAAATCCTCCTGAGCTTCTCAGAAACTCCTGCAACATACGGAGTGATGATTTTGTTTCGTTTCTTGGTCTTTTCTTCTCTGTCTCCTCTGGGTTTTGTAGAGGATTTGATGAAAGACCAGCTTGGGTGGCCACAGGTTTTAAGTGCTGTTTTGATGTGCTTCTGTTCCTCCTCCTTTACTGCTGTTCTGGTAGGTACGTTCTGGGCCTGGTGTTGGAAGGTTCTGATAGTTCCCAGCTTGTGTTCCAGTGGGTGGTGGGAGTCGAACAGCAAATATTGGTCTGTGTGATCAATATTTGCCATCCAGTGGAACACAAGTTTTAATTAAAGTTTTTCATCATTCACATATGTCCAATTTTCTTTACTATTTACATGAACAGCCTTATATGAATAATGAATACTACACCAGATTTTAAAAAATGTACCTTAAAATACACTGACAATGTTGCACGTGAATTTGAAATATTGCACATGTAGTTAAAATAACAGTTGCACATGACTCTGGAACTAAAACTGCACAAACTATTGGGAAAATTAATACTGGAAAAATGATTGATATTAGGGTAAGGCAAGATATAACTTTATTAATCCCAAAGAAAATTCTCGTGCCAGATATTGCATAAGAAATGCAGTTCCTAGTAGAAAAACAATACAAGTACAATATATTACTAAAGAAGCTAAAACAAGACCAGAATCGACAAGTAAACGGTAATGCTGGCATTGATACTGAGGTAAGAAGTAATCCCACACATGCTAATAAAATATTGCGCAAGAAATTACACATTATGTTGACAATGTTGTACACGAGTGTGAAATATTACGTGTCACAGCAGCTAGATACAGATATGGCATGACAGGAAGCAGGACGGGAATTACAGAATACAATAAGGCTGGAAAATAAAGATATATTAATCAAGATCTCAGAGAGACGATGTACAAGGCATGATGAATTTACATGTGGATAAATACAGATATGTCGTGGTGAGTTTACATACTGATATGCACACATATGACCTGATGAATTTACAAATGTGCAGGTATGGCATAAAGGACAATGTGCGATTATTTCTGTTGTTGCAGTCAAAAATATTATTACCAGTGTTAAACATGATATTGTTACACATGAAGAGCTGTGGGAGAACAGTTAGTTTTAATTAAGAACCATTCTACATTATGACATCACAACAATAATATAACCATGACAGTATCAGTGAAGTCTGACCCTATGATGACTAACCACATGGACATGTCACCAGAATAACTACAGACGAATATTGCCCATGATTCTGTTCAACGCCTCACGCGCAAACACACGCGACGCCTGTTCCTTTTCCCGGATTGGTCCGCGATGCCGGGAAACCTCCTCGTGACATGTCTGCCGGTATAAATACCGTGAGCCTCTCACTCCTCACGCAGCCCTGGTTTATGAGGGAAAATGTATCGTCTCGGTCAACAGTCTATCGCCAAGATCGCTTTCAATTTCTTTTTATCCACTGTGCCACGGGAATATTTTCATTTTACGAGACAATACAATAAAAGCTGGTCGTGTATTGGCTGATTTTTGATCAAGTTTTACACACATCTGCACGAAAATGCCGAGGACCAAGAAGAAGAATAGCAGGGGTGAGTAAAAAAAAAACAAAAAACGAGCGGCCGCAATGCTTCGGCCTTGCTTCTGTGACGTCGATCTGCTGACGGTAGTTGTAGTTCTTTTCGTGTTGCCAGGCCGTTGAGTGGAATGGAACGTGTTTCGAGTGCGAACTACAGACGGTTGAGGCTGGCCTAAGTCAAAACAAGAAGCTGCCAAGCTGTTGTAACACAAAGCATTGCTGTTATTGGGAATTCGTGTCACCTTACAACAATATAGTAACGTTTAAACGTGATTAAAACATTAATTTAAATGTCATAAACTAGTTTTTTACTAAACCGAGGCTGTTAATAGTCGTCGTACTTGTCAAGCTAGCGCCAGCTAGCTTCATGTCCACTCCCTGCTAGCATGATAACACATGTGGTTGCTAGGTAAACCTTACTTTAAACGAATATAACTCGATAGGTAACGTTTGACAATCTGACTGGTTGTACAAGGATTGTTGTTATCATCGATTAATGGTTATCTTTTTGTGATACCACGTCGCAAAAACAGCTCGAAGTCTGTAAGGTGAAGTGAGGTCGTCTGGTCTCCACATCGACTCCAGTTGCTCCATAGCCGAATTTGTGATTAATATTAATTCCAACAAACGTTTGCTGATGTTAAACTGCCCCAAAAAGGTAGGTACCAGTTTCTATAAAGTAGGTACATGTTGGTTGTTATTCAGTTATTATTTGGCAACAGAAGGCGGACATTTTGGACTCCAGGGAGCGGGGTGGGAAGGAGGCGGCGCCCGGTTCTCAGAAATCAGCTGTGCTCGGGATAGAGTCCACGTCAACACATCCACAGAGCCATAAAACTTGTTCTAGGTGGATATAAATGACATTTTTAATCAGCTGGTTGACTTTCCTGTAACACTTTGTTATGTCTTGAAGTATTCTAGTGTATTTACTTTTGGATTGGATAAAGTGGTGTTCCTGGAGTGTTCAGCATACCAACATGTCTTCCTGAGGTGAACTCAGGACAAAACAGAGGCGCCTGTTCAGTCTAGATACAGTCTAGCTATTGTCTGCAGATTGCATAGTTTAATTCAAGTGTGTAATAGCTGATACAATCACAACTTCAGTTTTTAAAAAAATAAGCAACATTTTTAACACTCTGTTTTAGCTGTGAGTTTTCACAGCTCTCCCACACTTGTTTTCAGGACCACCGGTTAAAATCAGAATCAGCCTTTATTGCCAAGTAGGTTTTCATATGCAAGCCATTTGACTTGGTGTTTTGATGCATAACAGTGAAGTAAAAGTTATAAAGTGTTGCCAGTCGTAGGTATTAAGTGTAGCAACATAAATAGGAGCAGTGCTGCAAGTTAAATTCGCAGTAAGTGTAGTCAAGGGTTTATAAATCATGAAAAGTAATAGAAATATTTTCATTGTGCAGGAATGTGCAAGCTAGTCACATGAGAATGTACAAGGTTATTTAGTATCTAGTGTAAAGAAGAACTTGAAATGTGCGACAGGATGATAATAATCCCATTTAAAAGCTGTGCAAGAGGAAGAGAGCCTGCTTCCTCTATCACATGCGGTTGCTTACTCCTGGGCTTTTTTGGACAGCACTAAAACCGCTCTTGTCTATTTTGAACACTAGCTTTGCATTTGAGCCAGTAATTGCTGTGGCAGACTGTCAGAGTCTCTGCCGTGTCGTGGCAGTCCACGTTTGGTGACCCATGTCTCTCCAACCTGAACATCATGCTGTGTTTACACAGGCAACAGAAGTGTGAGTTGCCCTTGACCCTAAAAACACAGCGTATTTTCATACTATGTAATGAAAGTACCAGATGGATAAGGTGTGCAAAGGACATGCAGCTGATTAGATAACTGCAGTATTTGCTGCAGTACCTGTGTGCAGTTTGGGTTACATAATTGACTCACACAGACCTGCTGCATGGCACTAATGAATTTGAATTAAATTCTATTTCCTTTTCTTATGGCTCTCTGTTTATTTTTTTCAGGGGGGCAGCATGGGACTGTGCAGCCTTTCAGTGATGAGGACGCCTCCATTGAAACCCTCAGTCATTGCAGCAGCTTCAGTGACGCCACCAGTGTAGCAGACGAAGGTAAGTTTGTGTATATCCTGAGTTTGTACAATGTGTGCTTTGGGCTTTGTTTCAGCTTGTGAGTGCGCGTGGTGTCACTGGGTGTGTCTGCCTTCATGTAATCTTTTTTCCTTCCCTGTGCAGTAACTCTTATCTTTACTCTGAAGCATATCAACTTAGTGTCTGTTTACCACATCTTGTCGTGTTTTTAGGTGGAGAGGCCGGTGAGGACGCAGCCCTGGAGGATTTCCAGTTCAAGCTGAAGGGGTTCATAGACAGCACGGTGGACAAGAGGTAAAAGCCGTTCCTGATTTTCAGGTCTACATTTCCGTGTTATCTAAGCTTTGCGTGCAAACACGTTCGTGCGGAATTCCAGTTTTACAAGAGATATTAAAATATAGTCACTGTTCAACAAGGAATGCTGCATGAGGTGGATGGAAGCTTGTAGTTTTTTTCTATTTTGGATTGCTTCCTCCCACTAAAGATATAGTAAAGAACATTTTTCTTCACATTTTCTATGAGTTTTAAGTAATTTTACAAAGAAAGCCATCTATGTATAGTGTTATTGTTTCAAAGGTAGTATTCCATTCCAAAAAAACTCCAATAACTTCATTTTTTAAACTACTAAAGCTAACACAGTATAAAATGCTAATTTCTGGGTTGGGTAACCTGACTTGGTGCTAGTGTCAATCCCTGGAGAAAGATATCATTAAGGTTTGTAGCTTGGTCAAGTTAAAAATAGACCTCATCAGGCTCGTCACACTGGTCTGCTGAATGTGAGGATTTTAAAGTAGGGATGTACCAGCGCTCCCACCTCATGCCATTAGGGTATTAAATATTTAAGCTGAAGCTTATACTTGAGACACATTAGCTTTGCAATTTTTGATTATAATGAGTGAAGCAATTCACTTTTCAAATGTATGTAAAATTCAAGGCAACTGCCAGTGTATTAGTCTCCATAAATGTTATATCTGGAATTGTTTTTATTATGAAAATGTTTTCTTTTGACTGTGTCAGATGTTTACCACATTCTCATTCTCATGGTGGTTGTTTTTCTGACATTTCACTGTCATGCATCACTGCTCAGTCATTGGATGAGAAATGTAATAGTTTGTCTGGAAGCAGTAATGGATGTTTGTTTACCTGTTTCCTCAGTGCTAAGACCAGACAGGGGGCGCTGGACGGGCTTAAGACTGCAATGGCCACAAGGATCCTGTATGAGTTTATCTCTGAGAGAAGGATGACCATCACAGACAGCATTGAACGCTGCCTCAAGAAAGGTACCAGAAAAGCTGCTGGTCAACAAATGGTTATTGTAGTCGCCCTACAACAGCAGTTTCACTACATGTAAACATTTTTGTGCTTGTAAATCATTTGGTCTTTAATTTTAGCCATTTGTTGTTTTCGTAGTGGTCTGTTAGTTGATTACCTCAACTTCAGATGTTCATGTTGACTCAGATTAATGTGAAAAGTTAATTCCCCTCCGTCTCATTGTCAGGAAAAGGCGAGGAGCAGCGAGCAGCAGCTTCTTTGGCCTGCTTGCTGTGTATCCAGCTGGGCTCAGGAATTGAGAGCGAGGAGGTGTTTAAGACCCTGAAACCCATCTTCAAAAACATTCTGGCAGACGGATCAGCCAACATACAAGCCAGGCAGGCTGTGAGTATCTGATTTTCTTTTTGTTGTTGTTGCTGATCTCCACAGATAGAATGGAAGAATGCATTTTGACAGGTTTTGGAGAATTCTCAATCCTGCACTCACTCCTGTGATATTTTTCCACTGAAACACTTTTTTTTTTCTGTAATAGGTGGCAACAAGTCTGGGCCTTTGTACGTTAGTAGCGGAGGATGACATTTGGGTGAGTTTTTGATATTTTTATGCTCATTATCAGTTCTGACATTTATGATGTCAACAGCACTGGCAGTAAATACTCCTAAAGTCATAAACATAAGCTTTAGACGACTGATTGACCAGAGTATCTTTTGCTGAAGTGATCCCTTCTGCTTCCTGTTTCAGGATGTGCATGCGACCATGGAGTGTTTCGAGAACCTGTTCACTCGGTCCTATGCGAGGGCGGATGGTACCTGTCCTTCCATCAGTCCCCAGACAAGCCAGCTCCACACCAACGCCCTGCTGTCCTGGGCACTGCTGCTCACCATCTGTACCGCAAACCAGCTCAAAGACATCCTGAGCAAGTAAGATCCTGAACATTGACGAAGTCATACATGTTGCTGTTGAGTTTACTTAATTAATGCTGCGAAATGGATAAACATTGCATAAAGATGACGTATATTCTGTGTTTTGTTGTGCAGACACCTGCCTAAACTGCAGAGGTTGCTTGAGAGTGACGATGTGAACATGAGAATTGCTGCAGGGGAGACCATCGCCCTGCTGTTTGAGCTGGCCAGAGACATGGACCCTGTAAGTTCACATTTAGGACTAAATGGCTATATTTTGCATTAACTGTTTCTCCAGTGTTGTTAGTTTTTCTAGTGTTGCTAACAGTGAGTTGATTGGTTCTTCCTGTCCAAAGCATGTCATTGCATAGTTGACTGTGTGTTAACCTGCATATGACGAATAAAAGAATCTGAAATTACATGTGTACATCCTTTAAATCTTTCCAGTGTGATATCAAATATTTTAGTTTGTTTCTTTGGTCATAAATGCAGCGTTTCTTTCTGTGTCTGTTCAGGAGTTTGAGTTCGATGACTGGGACGACCTGTGTGACAAACTGAACGCGTTGGCCACAGACTGTAACAAGCACAGAGCCAAGACGGACAAGAGGAAGCAGCGGTCAGTGTTCAGGGACGTCCTCAAGGCTGTCGAGGTGAGCTCTCCCCTTCAGTTGACGGCGTGTGTCTTTTGCAAGCTAGAGTTTGTAATTTTTAGGTGTGAGTTTCCTGCTTTTGCTCAAGGTTGCTTATTAAGCATTTCTAGCTGAGGACAAAACTCAGTGGGAACTCTTCTGTTTTGGGTAGATTGAGGCTTTGACTGCTTTTTCTGGCCAGGGTGGTTTTACTCACTTCTCTGTATGTGCTTTTCAGGAGGGGGACTTCCAATCTGAGACCATTCGCTTTGGGACAGAGCGCATGACCATTGACAGCTGGGTCAGGAAGAGGACGTACGATGCCTTCAGGGAGTTTGTGGGCTCTGGGATGAACTACCACCTACAGGTATGTTGCATAAATGTATGTCACAAACTAGATAGAAACGCATGGTGTTGTTTTAATCTGAAAGTGCCTAACAGGGGCTGTTTCCTGCATTCATTCTGCACTATGACCTAATAATAGTGCCACTGCTTTAAGAATACAGTTAAATAAAGTAGAATTAAGTTGTTTCATGCAGCCTGCAGATCTGGCCTGTAGCCAACGTTTATGGAAACCTGAAAGAAAAAGATAAGACAAGGGAACACATTTCTCACAGTAGAGAGCAGAATATCTTGCAAACGGCTGCTGTTTAGTTTGTCTTTTGTTTGCACTGGTGATCGGCCTTAATCATATTTCTTGTAACTTTTCTCCAACCAGGCAAATGAATTCATCAGAGACGTGTTTGAATTGGGACCACCGATGCTGGTTGACTCAGCCACCATGAAGGCCATGAAAATCTCTCGCTTTGAAAGGGTAAGTGACCGAGAACAGGTTATCCAAACCTTTGTGGGAGTCAAAATTTCGTAAGCTTTTAAGTCAACATTTAAAAAACAAACGTTGCTGTGTGGTGGCTTTTGTGGCCTTTCCCACATGTGATTATAAATAGTGACATTCCACATCACTTTCTATTTCCAGCATCTCCACAACTCTGCTGCATTCAAGGCTCGGACCAAGGCCAGGAGCAAGTTCAGAGACAAGAGGGTGGACGTTGGAGAGTTTTGAACCTTTTCTTTTTTTATTATTATTATTACTATTATTATTATTATTTTCTTGTTGACTCTAATAGGCTACTTATCAGGCTTCCCCTGCTTTTTAGATGAACTGTTACATGTTTGTTCACATGATCACCACCCCAAATCTATCGTTATGTGTCAAACGCTCGCCTTTGGTAGACTTGTAACTTATCACAGCTTCGTAACGGCTTCTCTTTTTTAAATCTTCAGGAGGTGAGTGTTTGATAATCAAACAGTACACTGTGGGTGGAGGATAACTTTAATGCTGTATAGCCACAGAAAACGGTGTTGTACATATAGTGTGTATTTATTTTCTCCTAATGTTAATATTCATTGTGTGGCCTTTTTTTTTTTTCCCCCAACATTATAATAAGTTATGAATTTATGCCAACATCTGTCTTGTAAGTTTTATTTCAGTTAATTGTAAGTAAGACTGTGGCTGAGCTAACCTGTGATGGATTTGTATTCAGTTGCACTAACTAGCTAACCCTTAGATTATTTATGTAGAGCCTACGTGAATATTGTGTTTTAGTATTGGGTATGTAATCTAAAGGGTGAACGGATGGTGGAAATAAACACTGAAAAGCTGTACAAATTCATTTTTCTTCCTTCCTCGCCGCTCACGGACACGATACGGCGATATCGATCGACAGAGATTAGTTGATTTATTCAGCTGATGGAACGTCTTGGGACCCTGCCCAGTCAGTCAAAGCATCATTTATCAAGGGTGGAAATGAAAATGCCAGTACGTTTTCGCGGGAGGTGACTGTGAATCTTGAAATTTTTCCTGGAAGTCGAGTTTTGAAATGCAGAAATCTTGGCCCCTTATTTTGACTCCTGGCAGATATATGAAGGTCATTCCGAGCAAAGGCGGAGGGGAGGAAGGAAAACACAAATTTCACTCAGTGCTACTTCCACATATCAAAGTGAAGGATTTGACAGCCAAGGTGACGGTGGCATTATGGTGAAGGGGGACTGAGCAGTTACCTGTACCTTTCTCTGTTGGGACAGTGACTCATGATAAAGGTGACAAAGCTACAAAAGTCCTATCAATAATGTCGGCTTCTTCCCCAAGAGTCTGCATCCTGCCATTGTTCCACCCGTGCAGCAGCCTCATTCTGAAGCAATATTAGCTTCAGGGGGGAAGCAGAAACATGGAGCCGATTTATTTTTCATGCCTCGTCTTTGTGTCCTTTAGGAACGTCTTGTTGAAATACAAAGAGGAGGAGGACGAGAGTGTGTGTTCACCAGCCTTTTTAAAAACCCATTGTTCCTGAATAAATGGATCTGATTATGTTTTCTGAAGGCTGCACCAAACAGAATATAATTTTGGAAGCAGGGGCGTCTTTCTTGGAGATGCAACAGTTTTAGAAGTTTGGATTTGTTATTGTCCTTAATGTGCTTCCTTTGTGGCGGAATAGACAAAAAAAAAGGGGTCTGATGCTCTCATAAAGTCATTTCTTCCAGATAAATAACAAGAAAATCTGACTTCTCTTGCTTTGTAAACAGAATCTGGTCCATTCTCGCAATCTGTCCTCAAATGTTTTATCTAATTCCCAAGATTTAGGTGTGTTTTTGCTTAATTACCCAAATTTGCACATCTTAAAAATATCATTTCCGCTTTCAATTACTGCATTTTCATTCATGCTGGCTCATGAGCAATATCCACAGCCTGCAAAATGGTGTCAGAAGGCTTTTAACACAGTCCAAGAGGCAAGATTTTTATCACATCTTGCTGCTAGTAGGTTGGAGAGGAGATTATAGCTTGTGTTTAAAGCTTAAAATGGCCAGGCTGAGATTTGGTGCCATATCTCTGAGTGTCTGGATCTTCTCTGCCCGAGCGAATTCACTGGCCCCTTTTGAACCCCATTTTATCCCGACGTCTTGGTATTTTACTCTTCATTGTGCCACTTGAAGCTCTTTGTCTCACACTTTGACACGCGGTAATCTGCATCTCCCTCATCGTCAAAGCGAGAAACTCAAAAGAAGAGAGAGAGGAAATGTGTTTGTATTAGAGGTGGCTGACCCAAATAACATCCTGTCAAAAACCTCAACTCTGCCACTTTCCATCTCATACAGATGGTGAAACCACTGTCTCTCGCAGTAAAGCTGAAGTTGTGGGTGACTTGTCTGTAAGTCCCAGTGGTTTGCTTGTGAAATGATGCTATCTATCTTTCCGTGTCGTGATCAAGAAGCGATTAAAAAAAAAAAGTAATACCAAACTAGCATTGATTGTTTTTATAGAGATGTTGACTTTCATAAAACGACGTCCAAAAGCGATTAAAAAATCGCTCCGTCAATTTAGCACCGGACTAATAACGCTGTCAGAGTTGTGAAGGACGGTTTAAGAGAGGATTATAAAAGAGAATGCGTCTGCTTTATTACACTCATTCTTCTTCCTTGTCAGAAACCTCTCGCCCACATTACCCACAATGCAGCAGTTGTGGGAGTGTAGCAGCAGACATGAGGAGAAGGCCACAGCGGTCTTGTAACCTGATTTTTTAAATGCAGATCGTGCACGGCTCCCTCTGCAGCCACAAAGCGCTTTATAGCACTTTATTGCAGCGGCAGCACCTCCTAAAACCAGAAAAGAAACTTTGATGTGCAAAATTAGTCAAGTTCCCATTTGATTTGGTCCTTTCCTGCATTAACTGATTTTTTTGGCCACATGGGGGAGGCAGAAACACTCTGTAAGCGCCCAGCTGGCTGGGAACGTTCCCACAACATTGTATAACATTATCTACAGATGATGTTTGAGTCAGATGTTCAAATAATGTTTTAAGAATGTTTTAGCACATTCCCATAAAGTTCATGTAATGTTTTTACATCAGCATTCAGAGGATGTTGTCAGAAACACCGAAAAAGAAAAACGTTCTCAAACCAACATTTAAAAAAATGTTCTCCAGATGTTATCGAGGCCTCGGATGATTTTTGTAAAATGTTCCTGTAATGTGATGTAATAGCAAAGGTGATGCATTGTTCTGAAGACATTTTGGGGATGTTGTTGAGACAGCATGTCATGGAACGTTCTTCTATAAACCATTCTCACAATGTTCCATGCTATTAAAGTAAGAACATTCTCAAACTAACATTCAAAAAATGTTTTCCAGATGTTATCACGACCTCAGATGATTTTTCATAAAATGTTCCTCCAATGTAATATAGTAACAAACCAGATGCAATGTTCTGAGGACGTTTTGGGAATGTTGTTGAAAGAACATATCATGGAACACTCTTCGATGTTAAAGTAAGAAGGTTCTCAAAGCAACATTTAAAAAGTGTTTTCTGTTTGTTATTGACTCCTCAGATGAAAAATTTTTTATTTTTTTTTTACATAGAACATTTTCTAGCGTTCCTGTAATGTGATATATTAAAACACTTTGTTGCTGAGGGAACACATCATAGAACGTTCTTCTATAAAACATTTCATAAATGCTAGCGAAGGAAGGATGTTCTTAATACAACACTGAAAAAATGTTTTCAAGACGTAATTGAGGGACAAGATTAACAGAAATTCTTTATAAGATGTTCCTGTAATGTGATATGTTGGCAAAGGAACATGCTGGCAGCAATATTCTAAGAATGTTTTGGGGATGTTACTAAGGTAAAACATTGCAACGTATCACCAAACGTTTTTAAATCATCTTTAGTTATCCTACCTTTAAAATGTAGGAACTAAAAGAGAATTTCCCACTGGAAACATTAATAAAACTTTGTAGAACTCTCAGATTGTTTTGAAACAAACAACAACAGAATTCTAGCTGCGATACAGTTTGTGTGTGTAACTTGTTAGTCCGTTGAAAAGTTCCAAATTCTCTCACGTACACATTCAATCCATTGTTAATATAAAAGTATTGATCGCAGCAGCTTTAAATCAGATTATTCAGCCTTTGTTGTCAAAAACTATATTTTTTTATTTGGATCGAAAACAAATTCCTTCCAGCGCGCATGACTTCATCGCAGATAAACATTATCATTTGATTAGATCGTCTCCGTCTTGGTGGCAGGTGGAGACGGATGCAGAGAATGTTAATGGACCATTGTGTACGGCTCGATTGTGATGAAATGTGAATATTAACAAAGGGAAAAAAAAACATTACTGTGCAATTAGGAGGCATAAATGAGGATCAAATGAGTAAGAGAGCCCGATAAGATATCTTCAGTTTAATCAATAATTAGTTTTGCGTGCCATTATGCAGTCACCTCAATTTGGACGACTGCTGCACTGAATTAGCGAGTTCAGGAAAAAAAAAAAGAAGCTTTATTGTGGTTGGTTGGAGAAGAAAAAGGTCCTCTGCTGTGCACCTGAACTGATTGGCTGCCATCGACTGTTTGATTATACGCTTGTTATGGAAATGGGCGTTCTGTTTCAGCCAATTGACCTTTCGAGGCGATTGATTTTTAACCGAGATGCCTTTTCTATCATAGCACGAGTTAATATGCATTGTAATGCGGCTCTGTGTTTGATGAAGTGCGGTACACAGACGTCGGGACTCGGTCGTTGCCATGGCTGGTTAGGCAGCCCTTCGTCGACTATGGTTTTCCATTCATTGTGCTGCACGTTGGCAGCGAAGAAAGGGCCTGAAGCCAAACCGCTGAGCATGTGTGGCAGCAACACACACACACACACACACGCACACACACACACATACACACACCCTCCAGATGGATGCTTTTCAATAGTTAACCAGGTTAATGTATTTATTCCACTTGTGTGCTTCTGGCATATCAGCAGCTGTTAACTGTGTCACCTTCTATAGATCAGCCCATTTCTTTTAGCAAATGTGTGATGTTGACAATAGTGTGCCACCCACATATACCTCCCTCCTGCCCTCTTCCTCGTCTCCTTCTTCCTGGCCTTGTTCCCTGGAGCAAGGCGCATACAGCAGCTATCGCAATGAAAAATGGATGGAGAGATTAGCGGCACTTTGTCACCGAATGGCTGTTGTGTGTTCCTCATCCCGAGATGCCAAAGGGCTTGTTGTTGTGACTGATAAAATGGCTGCTGCCCCTGATGACTGCAGTTACATATATATATATATGCATACAGTATATCAGGAGGATGATTTACCCCGCTCTATGTCACCATCATGTGCCACATAGCGTACTGAAGATTCCTCAAAATGATTTGTGCTTCAAATTTAGATAGTGGAATCTTGTTTGTGTGTGTGTGTGTGTTTTTTCAGTTACTGCACATGAGAAAAAACTCATTCAGCCTGCTTGTCTGGTCGGTCTCTTGGGTGAACATCAGCGTGTATCAGATCAGCTGTAGAATAATTAGGTAGCTGTGGAGGTGGAGAGGCGGCGCACATCCTCCGAGGGAAATCACTGCCACAGCAGAAAACACGACGTCCCTGCAGACAACCGGTGTATGTGTTTATATTGACTGTCTAGATGAGTTTGATTTCACCCGGCCTTTGCTTGTATCGCACACTGAGCTGCAACATCACTGCAGTGACAGGTTTTATTCTTTATTTTTTTTATTATTTAAGATAATGCACGCATTACAGAAGCATCAGGAGAATGAATCACTTGTTTGTTCAGCACTTATTTACACATCTGGGCAAAAGTTAAGTGAAAATAGAGAGTGAGAAA